GAAAAAATGGAATAACCAACTTAAGTTTTCATACCTGTTTCCAGGAAGTCAGCATCATCCTGCATTGCAAGAACCATCTCACTAAAAAGACTTTTCACTATCTGCTTCCAGGCACTTGTCAAACAACAAATTGACTGGCCCCTTGCCCAATTTTACTGGCCTGAATTCCCTCAACTACATGTAAGTAGCAGATATTTTGCTAACTCCTTGAAGTGAAGCATTTTTGAATTTCTGAAGGTTGAACCATTTTTTGATGATAACTTAGATCCCTTTGTTTGGTCCAAAACAAATGTGTTAAAATCTTGTGTCATCATGTTTTTATGATGTATACTACATAGTGTTTCCCATTGCCATACTTTAGCTGAAAGGTTGCCGTCACTTGCAGGGATATGAGCAACAATACTTTTACTGTGTCCGCAGTTCCATCATGGGTTTTGACCCTACAGTCTTTGACAACACTGTATGTCTTTCTCTGTCTCTCTCTCTCTCTCTTTCACACACCCCCCCCCTAAACTCCCATATTTTTTGTTTTAAAAAATATTTATTTTGCTTGCTTTTAGCATGAAAAAATATGATAAATTTAGCTTCAAAGTATCCCTACCACCACCGCCTTTGCCTAACTCCTACCACCACCACCACTACTGCCACCGCCTCCACCCAACTCCTACCACCATCACCACTACTGCCACTGCAGTTACCCTACTACCACCTCTGCCATAACCACCATCGCTGCCACCATCGTTGCCCCACCATCCCCACCGCCACCACCGCCACCATCACCAATACCACAACCACTCTTTGCCAGAACCACCACCATCGCTATCATCATTACCGTCACCACCACCACCATCATTGCCACCGCCATCACCCACCACCAATTGCTACCACTGTCGCTCATCGTCATCACCCATTATTAGTATTATCTCATTCTTATATTTATTACCACTACCACCGTCACCCACCGCCACCCATTACCATAACCCACCACCACATGTTGCCCACCGCCACCCATCACCGTCGTCGCCCTACCACCACCGTTGCCCATTGCCACCACCCACCACCATCGAAGCCCCACCATCGTCACTGCCCCACTAACACTATTACCAACCACTATCATCGTCANACCCACCACCACATGTTGCCCACCGCCACCCATCACCGTCGTCGCCCTACCACCACCGTTGCCCACTGCCACCACCCACCACCATCGAAGCCCCACCATCGTCACTGCCCCACTAACACTATTACCAACCACTATCATCGTCACCTACCACCATCACTATTATCACTCACGACTGCCACCAACACCACGGTTATCGTCATCTACCACAATCATCAAAGTCTCTCACCACCACCACCACTACTGCTCACTTCCACTGCAACTGGTATTTAAATTCTTTTCTCTCTCCTCTATCTTTGTAATTTAATTTTAGATGTGAATACAAATATGTTGATTGTTGACTATTTCTATTACTCCATACCTTCAATATATATTGTAACACCCCAAAATTTCCTTTGGACGACATTACTTTTTAAAACCATTCACATCATGAGAGCAACTAATAAAATCTATCAATAAAGAGAATTTTCATTCATCATATACAATATCTACTCCATCATCCCAAAGGAATATGCCAAACCATGGCCATAATATCAAAAGAATATGCCAAACTATGACAATTACATCCAAGAGAATTAAACGTGACTTTTCAGCGGAATAACAAAAGATTAATATAAACATTATCTCAAAAGGAATTTCCTAATCTAGGACATATAAATATCAATCCTAGATATTCCCCTACAGATCCACATGCCCATCCACTTGAGCTTCCTGAGGTACTTGTTCATCGACTCCGAGTTCTTCCTCTAAGCTATCATCTGAAAAGTATGATATTTGTAGGGGGTGAGCACTAAGCTCTGAAGGAAAATTCTCCCAACCTCGAACAAGGTGTAGAAAACATGTAAAACCAGTCGGTCTTATTTCGCAATTATTATATATCAATTTTGAAAGAAAACAGAGACATTTCAGGAGATCTCAGGTTTACATAATAACAATAAATTAAATGAAGTAATTACGTCAAATTACAAATAACAAATCATTTTCAACCATAAACCATTTCCCACACGTTCTTGTAGAATCTCATACTTTCACAAGCTCTTATAGAAAATCATTTAGGGTACAATAAACCACAAACCCATAACTTGTATTCGTATCTCAGGTATGATGCATGATTCGCATAAATAAACACATTGAGAATATCCTGGTCCACACACACACTCCCAAATTCTCGCAAGGATATCCAACCTTTAAGAATGACGTATACCAACTCATGGTAGTAACGAATCCAACCCAGGAATAGTATACTAACCTTCAGTCTCGATAACACGTGAGCGAATAGTGGTTTGACCCTCGTAAGACACCAACTCCATTACGAGTGATAGTGAACCTTCAAACCCACATGGAGTAAGAAATGCATCTAACCCACTCTACGATATCTGGTCAACAGGCACCCATGGTCATCTAAACATC